GAGTGCCAGAAAGGAAATCTCCACATGTCTTCCACCTATTAGTCCAAGAGAAATTCAGAACTAGGTTCTGGGAAGTTCTGGCTTCTGAGGAGCTTGGGACTTCTAAATCCTGGGGACACAGCCTCAAAGACTCCAAGTCAAAGGTTCCTTAAGTGCTGGGCCCCGGGTGCCTGCAACTCTGCCTGGGTGGGGCCATCATGAGGCTGGTGGGGCACACGAGGGAGGCTTTTTTCCATTTCCTGGTGGGTGCCTTGCTCTCTCTGCGTGGGTGAAGACTGTTGGCTTGGGGCCTGTCTCTCCATATCTCTAAGGTTATTAATACTTTCCCTCTAGCATTGTTCGTACATGAGATGGGGCCCTAAGCACGGGATGTTCGCAACACAGTACCTGGCATGTAGTGCTCTGCAGAATTCTTTCTCTTAACTAGCGATGGCGGGTTTTCCTTTAGCATGCAGCTTTCTCTTCCTCTTTGGGGAGTGTTTATGTCAGTGTATCATCTTTCTGGATGTGTCTCCCTTCTATGACTCTCCAACCTCTTGCTTGGTTTTGAGCGGCAGGGCTTTCGCTCTGGTGGAGGTCTCTAATCCTAGCTGTGAGTCATTGTGTTCTTGGGGTGGAAACTGCTTGTCCCTGGCCTTATGTGTATAGCGGGTTAGTGAGGGCATGTGGGTTCTGCAGCGCGGGCAGGCTCCATCACGGAGGTCCTCTCTGATGCAGGTGGAGTTCTTCTGAGTATGCCCTTCTGTGTGCAGATTGTGCTAGGCACGTCCACTGCCATGTGAAACTCTAGTGTAGGTCTTGTCTTCAGATTTGGCCCATTTAACCATAGAGGCCCTAGGGCTTCTCTGTCTCTGTCTCTGTCTCTCTCTCTCTCTCTGTGTATGTGTGTGTGTATGTGTGTATGTGTGTGTGTGTATGTGTTAGTTCCTGTCACCTTGGCACAGACAGCGGCTATCTGTAGCTTCAGCAGCAATTATCCTGAGCTCTCATCTATGGAGAGGAAAGAAAAGGCCTAGTCCCTGATGACAGAAGGGAGAGAATGTGCTTCTGGAGGTTACCCTTGCCAGGAACATTCTGCTTTTGGACATCTTCTAGATATGCCTAGGATGGCCCCTGTGGGAGCAGGCACATTGCTGCTGCATGGGTTTTTGTGGTGTTGAGTTGCAGGATGGGGCATTCTGATGTGCATTTGATCTGAGCTGTGCTCTATCCCTGAGTCCTTTCTGTTTTTGCCTAGAGCATCCTTACTGCCTCACCCCTTTTCTGTCATCCAAGCAGCCTTCTACATTAGGGGTTCTCCCCTCCAGCCCTGCTTCTCATCACAAAGGATACCAAGTCCATCTATTGGGCTGCAGAAATGGGGTTAGCAAAGCTGAATTCTAGGGCTTTGACTCTCCCGTTCTAGCCTCTATGCACCTTCCTTTCCCCATTTGTGAGTGGCAGCTAGTGCTTCCTCCAGAATGCCACTGTAGGGGAAGTTTTGAACATCCTTGCTGTCTATGGCAGTGATAGCCACACATGGCTGCCAGGCACCAGCAATGTGGCTAGTGGAACTACATTTTTAACTTCAGGCTGGGTGTGGCAGTACACTTTTGTAATCTCAGAACTCAGAAGGTGGAGGCAGGAGGATCAGGAGGTTTGAGGTCATTCTTTGCTACACAGCAAGTTTGAGGTTAGCTTGGCCAATATGAGACACTATCTCAAAAGACGAAAAACATGACAAAACAAACAAACAGGACCCACAGGGCTGGAGCGATGGCTTGGTGGTTAAGAGTGAGTATTATTTCACTCCCCTAGTACTAATGTTGGGCCACTCACAACCACCTGTGATTCCAGGTCCAGGGGAATTTGACGCCTCTGACCTCATGAGCACTTGCAGTCAAGTACATACACATGCACATACTTATGAACATAAACAATTAAAAATAATTTAAAATTAGGAGCAGCCTGGCATAGTGGTGTAGGCCTTTAATCTCAGCACTCCAGCACTCTGGAGGCAGAGACAGCCTGATCTACAGAGTGAGTTCCAGGACAGCCAGGGTTACACAGAGAAACCCTGTCTCAAAAACAACAACAACAAGAAGAAATTTAATTTTATTTATGCATACACATGTGGGCCTGTGTATGCCACATATGTGGAGGTATACATGGAGACTAGGGGCATAGGATCCCTGGAGCTGGAGTTATAGGTGGTAGTGAGCCACCCGACATGAACTCAGTCAGGTTCAGGGAACTGAACTCAGTTCTTCGGAAGAGCAGCAAGCATTCTGAACTCACCCTGAGTCACCTCTCATCTTTTTTTCCTCTAGGGGGAAATACCACAATGATTTAATTACCTGCCTAAAATTATTTTATTTTTGGCTTTTGGAGACAGCTTCTCATGTAGCTCGGCCATCCTTAAACTCTAGATCTTCCTGCTTGCCCACTTGAGTGCTGGGATTATAGGTGTGTGCCACCATGGCAGTCTAATCCCTGTAAATTTAAATAGCCACTATGGCTACCATGTTAGTAGCTTACATTTGATTCTCTTCAAGCCCCAAAGGCTTGTGATGGGTGACTGAATTGTAAAGAATTCCCCCAACCCCCAAAGACCTTCTTTTGGATTTTCCTGGAGGCCTACTTGACCTAAAGGTATGGAGGAGAGGGAAGAACATCTGGGTTTGCTACGGGCTCCATTGGTGGAAGACAGATCAAGAGCTGGGGCCAGATGCAGAAAACAAGGCCATTGCCACCGTGGCCTCACACTTCTCATAAGCATCCCATGCCTTGAAGGCCCAGATTTGATGAGCAGGGAGCCCTTCCTGACTGTGTCAGGATAACAGAGCTGAGCATGAATCCAGCGGCTCCTGTTCTCAGTGGTTGAGAACTTTTCGGAATTACTTCTCTCAGCAACCTACTGAGTGAAGCATATAACATGTCCCAGTTAGTCCTCAATACTTTTTGCATCTAAAGACCCCTCTCAATCTAGAGAAGAGAAACTGTGGGAAGTCTTAGCCGCTTTGGTGCTTGGCCGAGGCGGCATTGCATTGAGTAGGCTTTAGGCGTGACCCTGTGCATGTCTGGAGCTGTTGCTTCAGACTGCACTGACTCACCGTGGAAGGGGGGAGGGTGGGGCCACCATGTGGGTGAGTGAGCTGGCTCTCCTTCTCCTCTGCTGGCTCAGCACCAGGATGTTTGGCTGAGCAAGGGGCCCTGCACAAGGAGGAAGACAGGGATACTGGGGAAACCTGACGGGGTGGCTTCAGTTCTTAGAGGTTCAAGCTAGAGCCTTTTTTTTTAAACCTTCCCTGCTTCTGCCTGCCAGGCTGGCATCTCAGTGTTGGTCTGGGGCAGGGGCAGAAGGTGCCAGTTTTGAGTTGGGAAGAGTCAGGATGGCTTTCCTCTAAAGTGGCCTCTTGCGCCTGCTGGAAGGGAGGAGGTGTTTCCCTAGCTCGGGCCTGTGCCGGGGGCCTCTCTCCTGTTCTTGTTCACACTCTACACAGCACCTGTGTTGTTGAGGCTTATGATAAATACTGCATTTGTGAGTTTGTGTAGTTTGATAACAGGTGTGGCCATCTGGGGTTTATCTTTGTGTTTATATTTTTGTCCATGTTGGTATCTGGGCCTGCTAAGTGCCATGGATTTCTAAGAGCCACAGTCCCGTCCTAGAGGCCAATTCCAGTATCTTGGATACCCCATTTATAATCTCATTGCCCTGAGAAGACTCTTAAGACTTCTGGTACATTGTGGAGCCCAGTTGGTCACACCCACAGTCCTCTGCTTACCATTTGTGCCGAGACAGGATTCTATGTCTTTTAAATTTCTGTATCTGGCACAGAGAGTGCATTCAGTAAATGTAGAGGATGGATGAGTGCATTCAGTAAATGTAGAGGATGGATGAGTGATGGGAGGTAATAATCTGATGCAGTGTGAAACTAAGTGCTGGGCTGGCTTGTGTTTGCCCCTGGATGGTATTCTTTACAGTCTATAGTACAGACTTGGGACATCTAGGAGGTGACCAATATGCATATTTTTATTGATTGGTTGACTAATCTCTGGATGTAAACAGTTTCAGGGTGGGGCTTTGGGTGAGGCTCACCACAATCCATAGAGTCCTCAGTTTCTCAGGTATGCTTTAGATGGCTGCCATTTTGTGTGGGTGGTTATAGTTCATCACTATACCTACCATCCTTCTGGGTGCCTTCCCAGGGTTCCTCTGCAGCTGACAGCTCATCTGGTGGCAAGGAGCAATGCCTTTACCTGTGGGGTCTGGCTCAGGGCCCGGTGTGGGCGGCCACGTGGGCCTTGGCTCACCACAGGTCTGAGCTGGGCTCTGCTTTCCTTCAGCCTCTTGGCTTGGGGAGCCTGGTGGGGATGGGATTCTCTTTGTTTAGGCCAGCAGGAAAGGGCTCCTTTTGGTCCTGAGGGTCAGGCTAGATGGTAAGCTGAGTTGCTGTCAGTGGGGTAGGGGACAGCACCATCTGTGCTTACAGAACAGTCTCACAGGAGTGACAAGGTGAGACTAAATGTGGCATGGGGGAAGACCCACAGAAACAGGCTAGGGCCTGGAGTCAGCACCATCTCTCTCTGTGTGCACTCTGGACAAACTGGTCTTTCAGAGTCTCAATCTCTTTGCTTGTAAAGTGGGACCAGCTGTTTTAGAGAATGACGAACATGACTGTGTTGCGGAACCTCTGTGGACCAGCTGCTCTCTTCATTCAATCTGTATGGAACTCTTACCATTTCCATGTTCACAGCCAAGGAAACAGATTCAGAGAGGCCAAGTGTCCTTGGCAAGAGTCCTATAGCTAGGAGGATCCGGCCAGCAGTGGAGACCTGGTGTAGTTTCCTTTAACTTCATTTTCTGTGGCAATGGGCCTCAGAGTCATGTAGTGACTGTAGTGGGGCCCTGACTGTAGTGTTGGCGTGGCCTGGGGAACAGCATCTCTCTGTCATTTGGGTGGCATCTCACTGAGGTTTTGAAAAGCCAAATATGAGCATCACGATGAAATTTTTCCTAGGCTGTGTGACCGAGATTCCCAAAGAGAGAGAGACTGATAGAAGAAGAGAAGAAGGAGGGGCGGGCTCCTGGCAAGGCATTCACTCCCGAATAGAGTCCTGCAAAGGTTGGTAGGTGGGATGGTGCAGAGGGATGGAGGTTAGGATGGGGGGTGCTGGGTACTTGATGAAGCATTTGGAAACGGCCCCTGGGTGGGTTAAAGGGTCGGTTACCCCCTCTATATTCTCTATTGTGCATCGGGAGAACTTCCAATACAGATCGCTCTCCTCCCCGAGGAACCTCTCCCTTGGCAGGTGAGCCAGGGCTGAGGGAGCAGGTGCATGGTGCTTGGGTTTTGTTCCCGGGGTGTGCACATCACCAAAGATTTCTGGCTCCTCGTGCCTTTCTGCCTTCCATGTCCCCGGCGATCAGAGCTTGTTTCTTTACCTCATCCCAGATGGAGAAGGAGGAGGAGACAACCCGGGAGCTGCTGCTGCCCAACTGGCAGGGCAGTGGCTCCCACGGGCTGACCATTGCCCAGAGGGACGACGGAGTCTTCGTACAGGAAGTGATGCAGAACTCCCCTGCGGCCCGCACTGGGGTGGTCAAGGAGGGTGAGTCTCCCCAAGATAGTGACTGGGCACTGGGGTAAGAGAGGCTGCTAAAGGGAAGGATGGAGGCAGGGGGCAGGCAGAAATGACCAAATGGCTGTGGAAGGCTTAGTCCAACAACATGAGGATGGTCAGTACCCAAGCCTTGCTCTTCTTCGCCTACTCTGTGTCTTGATGGTGAATGAGGGGAAGGCAGCTGTGTGGACTCTTGGAGACCTTGTCTTCAGATCTGATCTGCTCCTCTTACCAACTCTGCAGCTTTGTGTAAAATAGTTGGCCTTTCAGGCCACAGCCTGTTCATCTGCACATTGAGTGGGCAATGCCGTGCCTGCATGATATCTATGATGCTCGAGGAAAGTCAGCTTTAGTGTCTGTTATGTGCTGTCTTCTTGAGATCTGCGGGTCTCTACCTGATTGCTGCACTTCCTTACTTAGGGGACCAGATTGTGGGTGCCACCATCTACTTTGACAACCTGCAGTCTGGTGAGGTGACCCAGCTGCTGAACACCATGGGGCATCACACTGTTGGCTTGAAGTTGCACCGTAAGGGAGACCGTTCTCCTGAACCTGGACAGACCTGGACCCACGAAGTCTTCAGCTCCCGTAGCTCTGAGGTGGTTCTGGTAAGTTCCTGGTGACCCACCTTAGCTCTGAGCTCCCCATGATCCTGGTGGCCTCCTGGCCTCACTTCCTGAGCCTTCTGTTTGTCTCCTGGACCTCTGCTAATTCATCCCTACTTGTTTCATCCCTCTGCCTTCTCTCATAGCTTCTCTCTGCTGCCTTCTTCCTGTTTGCATTGTGGTGTATGTCTGATTCTGCTCTTACAAGCGTAGTGTTCCTTCAGTCTCTGAGACTGTGCCATGCTATGCCATGGCATGGAAACCCACTCAAGCAGTGGGGGCTTAGGTGCCAAGAGGAAGCTTGACTGCTTTGCTAGAGCCTTTGCAAGGATTTTACTGGTGTTCAGCCTGCTCCTCTACATTCCATGAGTAAAATGATGAGCAGCACAGTGCTTATGGGAAATTCCTCTTTACTCCTAATGGCTTGGTTATTGAATAAACCATGTCTCCTCAAAGTGGCAGTATTACCCAAACACAGCCAGGCCATCAGGCTTCACAAATGCTTTCCAGTGTGCAAAGGCTCCTGGGAGACTCTTAAACAAACACGTCAGTGAGTTGAGAGTTGAAGGATGGAGGGCCTGGTTGGGTTGAATCCCTGGAACAGGTTGTTTTGAAATATCACCAGGTGGTACAGCCTCTTGCTGGACAACACGATCCAGGAATCTACATATTTCCTAACCCTGGAATGGCCTTTGCTAACCAGAATTTTCCAAATAATTTCTATTTTCCTCTTGTGATGTGACTGTCAGTCTTTTTCTTCAGTCCCCCATGTTCTGCCCCAGGAGGCTCTCTGGATCTCTGTTATGTTCTGAGCATCTTTGGGAATCAGGCAACCCTGTTGTCGTCTAGGCTTTGGCCAGGCATTCGCCAATTCAGGTGGGCTTTGCTGCAACCTCTGCCGGGTGTGTCTTTCTGCAGAGTGGGGATGATGAGGACTACCAACGCATCTACACCACAAAGATCAAGCCACATCTGAGGTCAGAGGATGGAGTAGAAGGGGACCTTGGAGAGACCCAGAGCCGTACCATTACAGTGACCAGAAGGGTCACAGCCTACACTGTGGATGTGACTGGTCGGGAAGGAGTGAAGGACATTGACATCAGCAGCCCTGAGTTCATGATCAAGATACCAAGGCATGAAGTGACTGAGATCTCCAACGCAGACGTGGAAACCCAGTCTGGGAAGACAGTGATCAGACTGCCCTCAGGGTCGGAGCTAGCTTCTCCACCCACAGGCTCTGCCATGGATATCCAGGCAGGTGCCATTTCTGCTTCAGGACCAGAGCTCGAAGGTGTTGGCCAATCAAAATTCCAGGTCACTGTGCCTGGGATAAAGGTGGGAAGTCCAAGCATCAGTGTCAGTGCAAAAGGCTTGGGCTTGGGTGGCAAGGGAGGGAGCCAAGTTCCTGGAGTGGACATTTCGTCTTCTCTTGGGACTGGCTCAGTAGAGGCACAGGGCCCATCCCTCCAGAGTGGTGATATTGGGAAAATTAAAATTCCTACCATGAAGATGCCAAAATTTGGTGTCTCAGCAGGCCCAGAGGTGGGGCTGAACGTTTCTGCACCTGAATTATCTGTGGGGCATAAGGGTGACCAGCCAGGTTTGACCATCAGTGGGGATATCCAGGCCCCTCATCTGGAAGTCAGTGCCTCCTCTACCAATATTGAGGGGCTTGGGGGGAAGCTGAAGGGTCCCCAAATCACTGGGCCGTCACTTGAGAGTGACTTAGGTGTGAAAGGTACCAAGCTGCAGGGGAACATAGGAATGGATACTTGTGCTTCCAAAATTGAGGGCAGCATCACTGGTCCCAGCGTGGAAGTTGGATCCCCTGACATTGATGTTCATGGGCTAGGGGGCAAACTGAATGTACCCAAGATGAAAGTCCCTAAATTCTCTGCATCAGGTTCAAAGGGAGAGGGGGTTGGCATTGATGTGACACCGCCCACAGGTGAAGTGACCCTTCCTGGGGTCTCTGGGGATGTCAGTCTGCCCGAAATTGCTACTGGTGGGCTAGGAGGGAAGATGAAGGGTGTTAAAGTCAAGGCCCCCGAAATGCTTGTCCAGAAACCTAAAATCTCCATGCAGGATGTGGATCTGAGCGTTGGGTCCTGTAAACCGAAAGGAGATATGAAGGTGTCTGCTCCTGAGGTGAAAGGTGGTGTTAAAGGCCCCCAGGTGGCAGTGAAAGGCTCCAGAGTGGACATAGAGACACCAAACTTAGAGGGGACCTTGACAGGCCCCAAGCCCAGCAGCCCTTCTGGAAAAATGGGGGCCTGTAAGATCTCTATGGCAGATGTAGACTTAAATGTAGCTGCACCTAAAGGCAAAGGGGGTGTAGATATAATGCTACCCAAAGTAGAAGGAAAAATCAAAGCCCCTGAACTCGATGTCCAAGGCCCCAAAGTGGATGTCAGTGTCCCAGATGTGGACGTTCATGGCCCAGAATGGAACTTGAAGATGCCCAAGATGAAGATGCCCAAGTTCAGTGTCCCAGGAGTCAAAGGAAAAGGCCCAGATGTAGACGTGACTCTACCCAAAGGAGACATCAGTATTTCAGGGCCTAAGGTCAACATAGAAACCCCAAATGCCAACACGGAGAGTCTGGGGGGAAAACTTAAAGGTCCTGATGTTACTCTGCCAGAAGTGAGTGTCAAGACTCCAGAGATTTCTGTGCCTGATGTAGATCTGCACATCAAAGGTGTGAAGGTGAAGGGACAGTGTGATGTAACAGCACCAAAGCTCGAGGGAGAACTGAAAGGTCCCAGAGTGGACACTGACCCCCCAGAAGTGGACGTTCATGGCCCAGGCCTGAAGATGCCCAGGATGAAGATGCCCAAGTTCAGCATGCCTGGATTCAAAGCAGAGGGCCCTGAAGTGGATGTGAGCCTGCCTAAGACTGATGTGGACATTTCTGGGCCTAAGGTGGAGGTCAATGCTCCAGAGGTGAGCGTTGAAGGACCAGAAGGGAAACTGAAAGGACCTAAGTTTAAAATGCCTGAAATGAATATCAGAGCCTCAAAGATCTCCATGCCAGATGTGGACTTACACTTAAAAGGCCCCAGTGTAAAGGGAGAATATGATGTCACAGTGCCAAGGGCAGAAGGTGAGATTAAAGTTCCCGATGTTGAACTTAAAAGTGTCAAATTGGACATTGATGTCCCAAATGTGGATGTTGAAGGCCCTGAATGGCACATGAAGATGCCCAAGATAAAAATGCCCAAGTTTGGCATGCCAGGCTTCAAGGCAGAGAGTCCAGAAGTAGATGTGAATCTCCCTAAGGCCAACATTGATGTCTCAGGACCCAAGGCAGACATCAAAGCTACAGAAGTGAACATTGAAGGACCTGAAGGAAAGCTGAAGGCCCCAAAGATCTCCATGCCTGATGTGGATTTGCATATGAAAGGTCCGAAGGTAAAAGGAGAGTATGATGTCACAGTGCCAAAGGTTGAAGGAGACTTGAAAGGCCCAAAAGTAGATGTCAGTGCTCCAGATGTTGATATTCATGGTCCTGATTGGAACTTGAAAATGCCAAAGATTAAAATGCCTAAGTTCAGCATGCCTAGTCTCAAAGGAGAAGGACCAGAGTTGGATGTGAGCATGTCCAAGGCTGATATGGATATTTCTGTACCAAAGCTAGATATTAGTGCTCCAGATTTGAACCTTGAGGGCCCAGAAGGGAAGTTGAAGGGCCCCAAGTTTAAGATGCCTGAGATGCATTTCAAGGCTCCAAAGGCATCTCTACCAGAAGTGGACCTAGATCTCAAAGGACCCAAAATGAAAGGAAATCTAGATGTGTCTACACCAAAAATAGAGGGAGAGATGAAAGTTCCAGATGTAGACATCAAAGGTCCAAAGGTAGGTATTAAAGTACCAGATGTGGAAGGTCAAGGCCCAGACTGGAGCCTGAAAATGCCAAAGATGAAAATGCCCAAGTTCAGTATGCCTGCTCTCAAAGGTGAGAGTTCAGCTGTAGATGTGAAGCTACCTAAGGCTGACATTGATGTCTCAGTACCAAAAGTTGACATTGAAACCCCAGATGTGAGCCTTGAGGGCCCAGAAGGAAATCTGAAGGGTCCCAAGTTTAAGATGCCTGACATGCACTTCAAGACTCCCAAGATCTCCATGCCTGATGTGGACTTAAACTTGAAAGGCCCCAAAGTTAAGGGGGATGTGGATGTGACTGTACCTAAGATAGAAGGTGAAATGAAAGTTCCGGATGTTGACATCAAAGGACCTAAAGTGGACATTAATGCCCCAGATGTGGACGTTCATGGTCCAGACTGGCACCTGAAGATGCCCAAGGTGAAGATGCCCAAGTTCAGCATGCCTGGCTTCAAAGGAGAGGGCCCTGAAGTGGATGTGAATCTACCAAAGGCTGACATTGATGTCTCAGGACCCAAGGTGGACATTGATGTTCCAGATGTGAGCATTGAGGGCCCAGAAGGGAAACTGAAGGGGCCCAAGTTCAAGATGCCTGAGATGAACATCAAAGCCCCCAAGATCTCCATGCCTGATGTGGACTTAAATATTAAGGGGCCCAAAGGAAAAGCAGATATGGATGTATCATTGCCTAAGGTAGAAGGTGAAATAAAAGTGCCAGATGTGGACATTAAAGGGCCCAAAGTTGGCATTGATGCTCCAGATGTTGAAGCTCATGGCCCAGATTGGCACCTGAAGATGCCTAAAATAAAAATGCCCAAGTTCAGCATGCCTGGTTTCAAAGGAGAAGGCCCAGAAGTGGACATCCATAAGACTAACATTGATGTCTCAGGACCCAAGGTGGACATTGATGTTCCAGATGTGAGCATTGAAGGTCCTGATGCAAAGCTAAAAGGCCCAAAATTTAAGATGCCAGAAATGAATATAAAACCTCAGAAGATATCCATGCCAGACGTTAGCTTGAATTTGAAAGGCCCTAAAGTGAAAGGAGAATATGATGTCTCAGTTCCAAAAGTGGAAGGAGAAATAAAAGGTCCTGCTGTTGACATCAAAGGCCCTAAAGTAGATGCACCAGATGTGGATGTTCATGGTCCAGATTGGCACCTGAAGATGCCCAAGGTGAAGATGCCCAAGTTCAGCATGCCTGGCTTCAAAGCAGAGGGCCCTGAAGTGGATGTGAACCTACCAAAGGCTGACATTGATGTCTCAGGACCCAAGGTGGACATTGATGTTCCAGATGTGAGCATTGAAGGCCCAGAAGGGAAGCTGAAGGGACCCAAGTTCAAGATGCCGAGTATGAATATACAGACACACAAAATCTCTATGCCTGATGTTGGGATTAATCTGAAAGGACCTAAACTGAAAAGTGATGTAGATGTTTCTCTTCCAAAAGTGGAAGGAGATTTGAAAGGTCCTGAAGTTGATGTTAAAGTTCCTAAGATGGATGTTGGTGATATTGATATTGAATGTCCTGAAGCAAAGTTGAAAGGCCCCAAGTTTAAGATGCCTGACATGCACTTCAAGACTCCCAAGATCTCCATGCCTGATGTGGACTTAAACTTGAGAGGCCCCAAAGTTAAGGGGGATGTGGATGTGACAGTGCCTAAGATAGAAGGTGAAATGAAAGTTCCGGATGTTGACATCAAAGGACCCAAAGTGGACATCAATGCCCCAGATGTGGACGTTCATGGCCCAGACTGGCACCTGAAGATGCCCAAGGTGAAGATGCCCAAGTTCAGCATGCCTGGCTTCAAGGCAGAGGGCCCTGAAGTGGATGTGAACCTGCCTAAGGCTGATATTGATGTCTCAGGACCCAAGGTGGACATTGATGTTCCAGATGTGAATATTGAAGGTCCAGAGGGCAAACTGAAGGGGCCCAAGTTCAAGATGCCCAAGCTGAATATCAAGGCTCCCAAGATTTCTATGCCAGATGTGGACTTGAATTTGAAGGGGCCTAAGCTAAAAGGAGAGATAGATGCTTCTGTGCCAGAAATGGAAGCTGATCTTAGAGGTCCTCAAATTGATGTCAAAGGCCCCAGTGTGGATGTGAAAGTGCCTGATGTTGACCTGGAATGTCCTGAAGCAAAGTTGAAGGGTCCCAAGTTTAAGATGCCTGACATGCACTTCAAGACTCCCAAGATCTCCATGCCTGATGTGGACTTAAACTTGAAAGGCCCCAAAGTTAAGGGGGATGAGGATGTGACTGTACCTAAGATAGAAGGTGAAATGAAAGTTCCGGATGTTGACATCAAAGGACCCAAGATGGACATTAATGCCCCAGATGTGGACGTTCATGGCCCAGACTGGCACCTGAAGATGCCCAAGATGAAGATGCCCAAGTTCAGCATGCCTGGCTTCAAAGCAGAGGGCCCTGAAGTGGATGTGAATCTACCAAAGGCTGACATTGATGTCTCAGGACCCAAAGTAGACATTGATGTTCCAGATGTGAATATTGAGGGCCCAGAAGGGAAACTGAAAGGCCCTAAGTTCAAGATGCCTGACATGCATTTCAAGACTCCCAAGATCTCCATGCCTGATGTGGACTTACATTTGAAAGGTCCCAAAGTCAAAGGGGATGTTGATATGACAGTGCCCAAACTGGAAGGAGATTTGAAAGGCCCCAGTATGCATGTAGAAGTACCTGATGTTGACCTGGAATGTCCTGAAGCAAAGTTGAAGGGTCCCAAGTTTAAGATGCCTGACATGCACTTCAAGACTCCCAAGATCTCCATGCCTGATGTGGACTTACATTTGAAAGGCCCCAAAGTCAAGGGGGATATGGATGTGACAGTGCCCAAAGTAGAGGGAGAATTAAAAGGCCCCAGTGTAGATGTGGAAGTGCCTGATGTTGACCTGGAATGTCCTGAAGCAAAGTTGAAAGGCCCCAAGTTCAAGATGCCTGACATGCATTTCAAGACTCCCAAGATCTCCATGCCTGATGTGGACTTACATTTGAAAGGTCCCAAAGTCAAAGGGGATGTTGATGTGACAGTGCCCAAACTGGAAGGAGATTTGAAAGGCCCCAGTGTGCATGTAGAAGTACCTGATGTTGACCTGGAATGTCCTGAAGCAAAGTTGAAGGGTCCCAAGTTTAAGATGCCTGATATGCACTTCAAGACTCCCAAGATCTCCATGCCTGATGTGGACTTACATTTGAAAGGCCCCAAAGTCAAGGGGGATATGGATGTGACAGTGCCCAAAGTAGAGGGAGAATTAAAAGGCCCCAGTGTAGATGTGGAAGTGCCTGATGTTGACCTGGAATGTCCTGAAGCAAAGTTGAAAGGCCCCAAGTTCAAGATGCCTGATATGCACTTCAAGACTCCCAAGATCTCCATGCCTGATGTGGACTTAAACTTGAAAGGCCCCAAAGTTAAGGGGGATGTGGATGTGACTGTACCTAAGATAGAAGGTGAAATGAAAGTTCCGGATGTTGACATCAAAGGACCCAAAGTGGACATTAATGCCCCAGATGTGGACGTTCATGGCCCAGACTGGCACCTGAAGATGCCCAAGATGAAGATGCCCAAGTTCAGCATGCCTGGCTTCAAAGCAGAGGGCCCTGAAGTGGATGTGAATCTACCAAAGGCTGACATTGATGTCTCAGGACCCAAGGTGGACATTGATGTTCCAGATGTGAATATTGAGGGCCCAGAAGGGAAGCTGAAGGGTCCCAAGTTTAAGATGCCTGACATGCATTTCAAGACTCCCAAGATCTCCATGCCTGATGTTGATTTCAACTTAAGAGGTCCTAAAATCAAAGGAGATATTGATGTTTCAGTCCCAAAGCTTGAGGGAGAATTAAAGGCTCCAGAACTGGATGTCAAGGGACCCAAATTGGATGCTGACATGCCAGAAGTAGCTGTGGAAGGCCCAGAAGGAAAATGGAAAAGTCCTAAATTCAAGATGCCAGACATGCACTTTAAAGCTCCCAAAATCTCCATGCCAGACATTGACCTTCACTTAAAGAGTCCAAAGATAAAGGGGGAGGTTGATGTGGATCTTCCCAAATTGGAAGGAGACCTCAAAGGGCCAAATGTGGGCGTGAGTGGGCCAGACATTGAAATTGAAGGACCAGAAGGCAAATTGAAAGGCCCTAAGTTCAAAATGCCTGAAATGAACATCAAAGCCCCCAAGATCTCCATGCCTGATTTGCATCTTAAGGGTCCCAAAGTAAAGGGAGATGTGGATGTTTCCCTACCCAAAGTGGAAGGTGACCTCAAGGGTCCAGAGATTGACATCAAAGGCCCCAAAGTGGACATTGATGTCCCAGATGTTGATGTTCATGGTCCAGACTGGCACCTGAAGATGCCCAAGGTGAAGATGCCCAAGTTCAGCATGCCTGGCTTCAAAGTAGAGGGCCCTGAAGTGGATGTGAATCTACCAAAGGCTGACATTGATGTCTCAGGACCCAAAGTGGACATTGATGTTCCAGATGTGAGCATTGAAGGTCCAGAGGGCAAACTGAAAGGCCCCAAGTTCAAGATGCCAGAGATGAACATCAAAGCCCCCAAGATCTCCATGCCTGATTTGCATCTTAAGGGTCCCAAAGTAAAGGGAGATATGGATGTTTCCCTACCCAAAGTGGAAGGTGACCTCAAGGGTCCAGAGATTGACATCAAAGGCCCCAAAGTGGACATTGATGTCCCAGATGTTGATGTTCATGGTCCAGACTGGCACCTGAAGATGCCCAAGATGAAGATGCCCAAGTTCAGCATGCCTGGCTTCAAAGCAGAGGGCCCTGAAGTGGATGTGAACCTACCAAAGGCTGACATTGATGTCTCAGGACCCAAAGTGGACATTGATGTTCCAGATGTGAGCATTGAAGGTCCAGAGGGCAAACTGAAAGGTCCTAAGTTCAAGATGCCGGAGATGAACATCAAGGCTCCCAAGATCTCCATGCCTGATTTGCATCTTAAGGGTCCCAAAGTAAAGGGAGATGTGGATGTTTCCCTACCCAAAGTGGAAGGTGACCTCAAGGGTCCAGAGATTGACATCAAAGGCCCCAAAGTGGACATTGATGTCCCAGATGTTGATGTTCATGGTCCAGACTGGCACCTGAAGATGCCCAAGGTGAAGATGCCCAAGTTCAGCATGCCTGGCTTCAAAGTAGAGGGCCCTGAAGTGGATGTGAATCTACCAAAGGCTGACATTGATGTCTCAGGACCCAAAGTGGACATTGATGTTCCAGATGTGAGCATTGAAGGTCCAGAGGGCAAACTGAAAGGCCCCAAGTTCAAGATGCCAGAGATGAACATCAAAGCCCCCAAGATCTCCATGCCTGATTTGCATCTTAAGGGTCCCAAAGTAAAGGGAGATATGGATGTTTCCCTACCCAAAGTGGAAGGTGACCTCAAGGGTCCAGAGATTGACATCAAAGGCCCCAAAGTGGACATTGATGTCCCAGATGTTGATGTTCATGGTCCAGACTGGCACCTGAAGATGCCCAAAGTGAAGATGCCCAAGTTCAGTATGCCTGGCTTCAAAGCAGAGGGCCCTGAAGTGGATGTGAACCTGCCTAAGGCTGACATTGATGTCTCAGGACCCAAGGTGGACATTGAAGGCCCTGATGTAAACATTGAAGGACCAGAAGGAAAGTTGAAAGGTCCTAAGTTCAAGATGCCAGAGATGAACATCAAAGCCCCCAAGATCTCCATGCCAGACATCGATCTTAACCTGAAAGGGCCCAAAGTGAAGGGGGATGTGGACATGTCTCTGCCCAAAGTGGAAGGTGAGATTAAAGTTCCTGAAGTTGACATCAAAGGCCCTAAAGTGGATGTTGATGTTCCAGATGTGGACGTTCATGGCCCAGACTGGCACCTGAAGATGCCCAAGGTGAAGATGCCCAAGTTCAGCATGCCTGGCTTCAAAGGAGAGGGCCCTGAAGTGGATGTGAATCTACCAAAGGCTGACATTGATGTCTCAGGGCCCAAGGTGGACATTGATGTTCCAGATGTGAGCATTGAAGGTCCCGAGGGCAAACTGAAGGGGCCCAAGTTCAAGATGCCAGAGATGAACATTAAGGCTCCCAAGATCTCCATGCCTGATGTGGACCTTAATCTTAAAGGTCCCAAAGTGAAATCAGATATGGATGTTTCACTTCCATGTGTAGAGAGTGATTTGAAAGGACCTTCTCTTGATATAAAGGGCCCAAAGTTAGACATAAATGCTCCAGATGTTGACATTCATGGTCCTGAGGGCAAACTAAAGGGCCCCAAACTGAAAATGCCTGACATGCATGTAAACATGCCCAAGATATCCATGCCAGAAATTGACCTGAATTTAAAGGGCTCAAAGCTCAAGGGAGATGTTGATATATCTGGACCCAAACTAGAGGGTGACATTAAAACTCCCAAGTTGGATGTGAAGGGCCCGGAAGTGGACATTTCTGCTCCGAAGGTCAATATTGAAGGGAAATCAAAGAAATCTCGTTTTAAGCTTCCCAAATTTAATTTTTCTGGGTCCAAAGTTCAGACACCTGACATGGATGTCAAAGTTAAAAAGCCAGATGTTGATGTAACAGCTCCAAAAGTTGATATTAATGCTCCAGAAGTTGAAGTCCAAGGCAAAGTGAAAGGATCCAAGTTTAAAATGCCTTTCCTGAGTATTTCATCTCCCAAAGTTTCTATGCCTGATGTGGAGCTAAATTTGAAAGGTCCTAAAGTCAAAGGAGACTTAGATGTAGCAGGCCCAAATTTAGAAGGAGACTTTAAAAGCCCCAAAGTGGATATCAAAGCACCCGAAGTTCATCTTAATGCACCTGATGTGGACGTTCATGGTCCAGAATGGAATCTGAAAATGCCCAAGATGAAAATGCCCAAGTTCGGTGTGTCTGGTTTAAGAGCAGAAGGGCCTGAGGTGGCTATGGACTTACCAAAGGGAGACATCAATATTGAAGGTGCAAGTATGAATATTGAGGGCCCAGAACTCAATGTGGAATGTCCAGAGGGAAGCTTAAAAGGCCCCAAATTTAAGATGCCCGAGATGAACATCAAAGCCCCCAAGATCTCTATGCCTGACATTGACTTAAACCTGAAAGGCCCAAAGGTAAAAGGTGATGTAGATGTTTCTCTTCCCAAACTTGAAGGGGATCTAAAAGGGCCAAAAGTTGACATCAAAGGCCCCAAAATGGATGTTCCAGATGTGGATGTTCATGGTCCAGACTGGCACCTGAAGATGCCCAAAGTGAAGATGCCCAAGTTCAGTATGCCTGGCTTCAAAGCAGAGGGCCCTGAAGTGGATGTGAACCTGCCTAAGGCTGACATTGATGTCTCAGGACCCAAGGTGGACATTGAAGGCCCTGATGTAAACATTGAAGGACCAGAAGGAAAGTTGAAAGGTCCTAAGTTCAAGATGCCAGAGATGAACATCAAAGCCCCCAAGATCTCCATGCCAGACATCGATCTTAACCTGAAAGGGCCCAAAGTGAAGGGGGATGTGGACATGTCTCTGCCCAAAGTGGAAGGTGAGATTAAAGTTCCTGAAGTTGACATCAAAGGCCCTAAAGTGGATGTTGATGTTCCAGATGTGGACGTTCATGGCCCAGACTGGCACCTGAAGATGCCCAAGGTGAAGATGCCCAAGTTCAGCATGCCTGGCTTCAAAGGAGAGGGCCCTGAAGTGGATGTGAATCTACCAAAGGCTGACATTGATGTCTCAGGACCTAAGGTGGACATTGATGTTCCAGATGTGAACATTGAGGGTCCAGAAGGGAAACTCAAAGGCCCCAAGTTTAAAATGCCTGATCTCCACCTCAAGGCACCCAAGATCTCAATGCCAGATGTTGATCTGAACCTGAAAGGGCCCAAAGTGAAGGGTGATGTGAATGTTTCTCTGCCACAAGTAGAAGGAGACCTCAAAGGCCCTGAAGTTGACATCAAAGGCCCCAAAGTGGACATTGATGTCCCAGATGTGGACGTTCATGGCCCAGACTGGCACCTGAAGATGCCCAAGGTGAAGATGCCCAAGTTCAGCATGCCTGGCTTCAAAGCAGAGGGCCCTGAAGTGGATGTGAATCTACCAAAGGCTGACATTGATGTCTCAGGACCTAAGGTGGACATTGACACTCCTGACATTGACATCCATGGTCCAGAAGGGAAACTCAAAGGCCCCAAGTTTAAAATGCCTGATCTCCACCTCAAGGCACCCAAGATCTCAATGCCAGATGTTGATCTGAACCTGAAAGGGCCAAAAGTGAAGGGTGACGTAGATGTTTCTCTGCCACAAGTGGAAGGAGACCTCAAGAGTCCAGAGATTGACATCAAAGGCCCCAAAGTGGACATTGATGTCCCAGATGTTGATGTTCATGGTCCAGACTGGCACCTGAAGATGCCCAAGGTGAAGATGCCCAAGTTCAGCATGCCTGGCTTCAAAGCAGAGGGCCCTGAAGTGGATGTGAATCTACCAAAGGCTGACATTGATGTCTCAGGACCCAAAGTGGACATTGATGTTCCAGATGTGAGCATTGAAGGTCCAGAGGGCAAACTGAAAGGCCCCAAGTTCAAGATGCCAGAGATGAACATCAAAGCCCCCAAGATCTCCATGCCTGATTTGCATCTTAAGGGTCCCAAAGTAAAGGGAGATATGGATGTTTCCCTACCCAAAGTGGAAGGTGACCTCAAGGGTCCAGAGATTGACATCAAAGGCCCCAAAGTGGACATTGATGTCCCAGATGTTGATGTTCATGGCCCAGACTGGCACCTGAAGATGCCCAAAGTGAAGATGCCCAAGTTCAGTATGCCTGGCTTCAAAGCAGAGGGCCCTGAAGTGGATGTGAACCTGCCTAAGGCTGACATTGATGTCTCAGGACCCAAGGTGGACATTGAAGGCCCTGATGTAAACATTGAAGGACCAGAAGGAAAGTTGAAAGGTCCTAAGTTCAAGATGCCAGAGATGAACATCAAAGCCCCCAAGATCTCCATGCCAGACATCGATCTTAACCTGAAAGGGCCCAAAGTGAAGGGGGATGTGGACATGTCTCTGCCCAAAGTGGAAGGTGAGATTAAAGTTCCTGAAGTTGACATCAAAGGCCCTAAAGTGGATGTTGATGTTCCAGATGTGGACGTTCATGGCCCAGACTGGCACCTGAAGATGCCCAAGGTGAAGATGCCCAAGTTCAGCATGCCTGGCTTCAAAGCAGAGGGCCCTGAAGTGGATGTGAATCTACCAAAGGCTGACATTGATGTCTCAGGACCTAAGGTGGACATTGATGTTCCAGATGTGAGCATTGAGGGTCCAGAAGGCAAACTGAAGGGGCCCAAGTTCAAGATGCCAGAGATGAACATCAAGGCTCCCAAGATCTCCATGCCTGACTTTGATTTGCATCTCTCAGGCCCCAAAGTGAAGGGAGATGTCGATGCTTCCTTGCCTAAAATGGAAGGTGAACTAAAGGGCCCAGGTATTGATATCAAGGGCCCCCGTGTGGATATTGACACACCTGATGTCAGTATCGAAGGTCCAGAAGGAAAATTAAAAGGACCCAAGTTTAAAATGCCAGACATGCACATCAACGCTCCAAAGATCTCCATGCCTGACTTTGACTTCAACCTTAAAGGGCCCAAGGTAAAAGGAGATGTGGACCTTGCAGTACCTAAGGTAGAAGGTGATCTCAAAGGGCCAGAGATAGACATTGAGGGTCCTGAAGGAAAACTCAAAGGACCCAAATTTAAGGTACCAGATGTCCATTTCAAAACCCCACAAATTTCAATGAGTGACATTGATTTGAACATGAAAATACCTAAGATAAAGGGAGATTTGGACATTTCTATTCCTAAACTAGGAGGGGATTTGAAAGGCCCCAAACTGGACATTGACACTCCTGACATTGACATCCATGGTCCAGAAGGGAAACTCAAAGGTCCCAAGTTTAAAATGCCTGATCTCCACCTCAAGGCACCCAAGATCTCAATGCCAGATGTTGATCTGAACCTGAAAGGGCCCAAAGTGAAGGGTGATGTGAATGTTTCTCTGCCACAAGTGGAAGGAGACCTCAAAGGCCCTGAAGTTGATATCAAAGGCCCCAAAGTGGACATTGATGTCCCAGATGTGGACGTTCATGGTCCAGACTGGCACCTGAAGATGCCCAAGGTGAGGATGCCCAAGTTCAGCATGCCTGGCTTCAAAGCAGAGGGCCCTGAAGTGGATGTGAATCTACCAAAGGCTGACATTGATGTCTCAGGGCCCAAGGTGGACATTGATGTTCCAGATGTGAGCATTGAAGGTCCAGAGGGCAAACTGAAAGGCCCCAAGTTCAAGATGCCAGAGATGAACATCAAGGCTCCCAAGATTTCCATGCCTGATGTGGATTTGGAGTTAAAAGGACCCAAAGTAAAGGGAGACTTTGATGTGTCTGTTCCTAAGATTGAAGGTGCTCTCAAAGAACCTGAAGTAGACCTGAAAGGTCCAGGGCTAGATTTCAAAGGCCCTAATGTTAAACTTAGTGGCCCTAACTTGAAGATGCCATCACTGGATGTATCTGCTCCTAAAGTAACTGGGCCTGATGTTAATTTGCACCTCAAGACACCAAAAATTGGAGTTTCTGGGCCTAAGTTAGGAGGTGAAGTGGACCTCAAGGGGCCCAAAGTTGATTTAGAAACCCCAAGCTTAGATGTTCACATGGAGAGCCCAGATATCAATATGGAAGGGCCAGATGTTAAAGTTCCGAAGTTTAGGAAACCCAAGTTTGGATTTGGTGCCAAAAGCCCTAAAGCTGACATCAAGACACCCTCAGTTGATGTGACTGTCCCTGAAGCAGAGCTGAGTGTTGAGACTCCTGAAGTAAGCATTGGTGGGAAGGGCAAGAAAAGCAAGTTTAAAATGCCTAAAATTCACATGAGTGGTCCTAAAGTTAAGGCCAAAAAGCAGGGATTTGATTTGAATGTTCCTGGAGGTGAGGTTGATGCCAGTCTCAAGGCTCCTGAAGTGGATGTTGGCATGGCAGGACCAGATGCTGCCCTCAAAGTTGATGTAAAGTCTCCCAAAGTCAAGAAAACAATGTTTGGGAAAATGTATTTCCCAGATGTAGAATTTGACATTAAGTCACCCAAATTTAAAGCAGAGGCTTCCCTACCTAGCCCCAAGATGGAGGGTGAAGTCAAGGTACCTGATCTGGATATTTCTTCACCAGGGATTAATGTGGAAGCTCCTGACATTCATGTGAAGACTCCCAAGTTTAAGGTCCCAGGTGTGGACATCTCAGGGCCAAAGATAGAGGGTAATTTGAAAGGTCCTAAGGTGCAGGCAAATTTGGACACACCTGATATGAACATCGAAGGCACTGATGCCAAAATCAAAGCTCCCTCATTTAGTGTTTCTGCTCCTCAAGTCTCCACACCTGATGTGAATGTTAAGTTGAAAGGACCAAAGATAAAGGGTGATGTTCCCAGTGTGGGACTGGAAGGACCTGACATAGATTTGCAAGGTCCAGAAGGAAAAATCAAGTTCCCTAAGTTTTCACTGCCCAAGATCAGTGCTCCTGGTGTGAAAATGGAAGGTGCGAGCACTGAGATCTGTGCCCAGATGCCCTCCTTTGAAGGAAGCTTGAGTACATCAGATGTTAAGTTTGAAGGGCCCGATATGTCCCTAAAGGGCCCAGGAATGGACTTGCCTTCAGTGGACCTGTCTATGCCAAAAGTTTCTGGGCCTGATCTTGACCTGAACTTGAAAGGACCAAGTTTGAAGGGAGATGCGTCCAGTCCCAGCATGACGCTGCAGGCCCCGGGTCTTGACCTCAAAAGTGTTGGTGGAAAAGTACAGATAGGAGGAGATGGCCTGAAAGTGTCAGGGATTGATGCCACAACAGCACTTAATGTGGGGGTACCAGATGTGACACTGAAGGGACCAAGCCTACAGGGAGATCTGGCTATGTCTGGGGACATCAAGTGCCCTAAAATATCTGTGGGTGCTCCTGATCTCAGCTTGGAGGCCTCAGAAGGTGGTGTCAAACTTCCCCACATGAAGCTGCCTCAGTTTGCCATCTCCACTCCGGGGTCCGACTTGGACATTAACATCAAGAAGCCACAAGTTTGTGGAGAACTAAAGGGGCCAGGGATGGATGTGAACCTGAAGGGGCCCCAGATCTCAGCTCCAAGCATGGACTTTAACTTGGAAGGACCAAAAGTGAAGGGGAGCCTTGGGGCCACTGGTGAACTGAAAGGCCCAGAAGTTGGGGGAAGTCTTCCAGGTATCAGTGTCCAGGGCCTAGAAGGAAATCTTCAAATGCCTGGAATTAAGGCATCTGGGTGCGATGTGAAACTTTCTGGTCCTGAAGTAAAAGGAGATCTGAAAGGTTCAGGAATAGGTGTCCATGATGTCAGAGTCAAGGGGCCTGAGTCAGATTTTGGTGTCAGCTTGAAGGGCCCCAAAGTCAAAGGAGGTGTAGATGTTTCAGGGGGTGTCAGTGTCCCAGAGATCAACCTGGGTGAAGGGCATACGAGTGTCAAAGGCCCTGGGGTTGAGTGGAAGGGACCCCAGGTCTCCTCCTCTCTAAACTTGGATACATCTAAACTTGCTGGGAACCTTCATTTCTCAGGACCAAAGATAGAAGGAGGTGTGAAAGGAGGCCAGATTGGACTCCAAGGTCCTGGGCTGAGTGTGTCTGGGCCTCAGGGTCACTTGGAAAGTGAATCTGGAAAAGTAACATTCCCCAAGATGAAGATCCCCAAATTTACCTTCTCTGGCCGTGAGCTTGTTGGCAGAGAAGTAGGGGTGGACGTCAACTTCCCTAAAGTAGAGGCCACTGTGCAGGCTGGTGCAGAAGGTGACTGGGAAGAATCTGAAGTAAAACTTAAAAAATCCAAAATCAAAATGCCCAAGTTTAATTTTTCCAAGCCTAAAGGGAAAGGTGGTGTCACTGGCTCACCAGAAGCATCCATTTCTGGGTCCAAAGGGGACCTGAAGAGCTCAAAGGCCAGCTTGGGCTCTCTGGAAGGGGAAGCAGATGCTGAAGTGTCTTCACCAAAAGGCAAATTCTCCCTGTTTAAAAGCAAGAAACCAAGACACCGCTCCAACTCCTTTAGCGATGAGAGGGAGTTCTCTGCGCCTTCCACCCCAACCGGGACTTTGGAGTTTGCAGGTGGAGAAGTTAAAGGCAAACACGGAAAGCTGAAATTTGGTACCTTTGGTGGGTTGGGTTCAAAGAGCAAAGGTCATTATGAGGTGACAGGGAGTGATGATGAGGCAGTCAAGTTGCAGGGGAGTGGAGTGTCCTTGGCCTCAAAGAAGTCCCGGCTGTCTTCCTCCTCTAGCAATGACAGTGGGCCCAAGGTTGGCATCCAGCTTCCTGAAGTAGAGTTATCAATTTCCACAAAGAAAGAATAGTGGGTCTTGAATGTGTGTACATATATATAAATACATCAGCTTTGGGTGTGTTTGTATATAAACTCCAAGGAGAAACACCCCAACAGCCTCAGCAATAACACAACGATCTTGCCTCTACCAGTGGCAAGTGCTGACAAACCAAGTGCCTCTAGGCTCCTGGGACTCTGCAGCTAGGTAAAGCGTTCTAAGTTCATCTGGCCCATGTGCAAAGTCAACAGTATTTGCCTTAAGATTTCAGTTTTTTGGTTTCTTCTTCTTTCTTTCTTTTTATTTTGCATTGAATGCTGAGAGCTCGTGTTTACTAAGCAAGCTTTGTGTTTATCATCCTTATTTTTACTGAACATTGTTAGTACCTGGGTAATGCAAACCCACTTTTTTTTCATTGTAATGACTTTGGGGGCTTTTTGTGAGTAAGGAAGGGTGGGATAAAAGGTAGCAGAGGGGCCAGGTCTTTGTTGCTCTGAAGGTTGGAAATGTATAAACACCAACACCCTGGCATGGTTCAGAGGAGGTGACAGCCAGAGGTGGATGTTTCTCAATTCTCTGTAGCATGACTTTTTATTCCCAGGTGTGTTAGCTCCAGCCTAGTTTGGTGCTCAAGGTGAGAGGGGAATTTGAATCTGTTTGCAAACTGTCTAACCCACCAGGTCAAGGTGAGGGGCTTCCATTTTGGGTTTGGTAAGAAAAGTGTTCATTCATGACTGCCGTGTTCTGAGAAAAGTTCTGATTCCTTTTAACAAATGTCATCATGATTGAGGAAATGTCTGGCACTTTAATGGCAAATTAATTCAGAATGTAAGAAAGTTGATGCTGTACAAGGCAAATAAAGCCATTTATTAACCCTGATGTATTCTGCTCTTGCATTCTGTGTGGAGGGGATGAAGCTAAGGGAGCCTGCACACACAACCCTCACTATTCGGACTTGACCCACCCAGTGACATTGCTAGTTTTGTTGGTGACTTTAAGGCATGACCTCTACACCGGTATTGGGAGGAAGTCTTTGCTTCTTGATTCTTGTGGGAGACTGGGTGCATCACTGCTGAGCAATCAGAGGAGGCCAGTGGCCATAACTCACTATAGAATGCCTACTTTAGCATGAGCAAGGCATTAAAAGGGGGTGGGGGCAGGGCTGAAGATGTATGCTGAAACTGGTATGCATGAGAACCTGGGTTAAATCCCCAGAAACTCATAAGACCCGGCGTGGCGGGTCACAGCTGCAATTCCAGCACATGGGGGTGGAGGTAGAAGAATTATTTTTCTTTCCTTTTTTTTGTATTTTTTGAGATATACATTTTGTATTTTGAGAAACATTGTAGCCAAGTATCTTAGACTGTACTGGAACTCACAGTATAGTCTCAGCTGGTCTTGAATTTGAGGCAATCTTCCTGTCTCAGCATCTTGTATAGTATAGTCTCATACAGTATAGTCTCAGCTGGTCTTGAATTTGAGGCAATCTATCTTCCTGTCTCAGCATCTTGTATAGTATAGTCTCATACAGTATAGTCTCAGCTGGTCTTGAATTTGAGGCAATCTATCTTCCTGTCTCAGCATCTTGAGTGTTGGGGTTACAAGTGTGAACCATCACATCCTGTGATGGGGTTTACCCATGTACAGTGTTGGGAAGATAACCACTGGGACACGGGAAAGATTCCTGGACAGAACTACCTAAGCTGTCCAATTGTACATCAATTTATTAATTTTTAACTTGAGGAAGGGGAGGTATAGATTAGTATGGCCTGGAATGTCCACTCATTCAGTGAATACTTTTTGAGCTCCATGGCTAGATGCTGTCCAAGCCCCAGTGTTTTCAAAACCCTCTTCTGCTGACCAAATGATGTAACACATGTAAAAATCTAGAATGTTTTGAACTCTGAAAAAAGGGGTGGGGTTGGGGGGATGACATATCTAGTGGAGATGATGAGGCGCCCAAGTCCTCCAGGTGATAACTTATTGGCTGGAACAGTTGGGAGTCCCTGGTAGAATGGGTAGGGAATAACTGGGCATTAGACCTTAAGGCGTCTCTCAGGTGTTCTCACATCAGGCTCAGGCTGGAGGCAGTGACTACAGAACAGGAAGTCTCCATCGTACAGGGCATCACCACAGAAGGAGCAGTATGGAGGAGGCATAAAGGGCTGGAGAGTAACTTCTATCCTGCATCTTCCTCTGGGCTGCTGGTGTCACAGTCCTATATGCTACCACTCTGGTTTAGGCAGTGCTGGGGATGGAACCCACTATGAACCTCTGGGATGCTAGGCTGACACTACCCAATGTGCTACATCCCCAGAAACAATATTTCGTTCTTTCTCTGTTGTAACTGCATTCAGAGTTAACTATGCATTTAAAAAAGGATAATTTGGACTAGTGAATGGTAGTGCAGTGGGTAAGAGATCGCTGCAAAAACCCTGATGACCTGAGTTTGATCCCTGAGATGCACCTGGTAGAGAGAGAACTGACTTCTGCAGGTTGTTCTCTGACTTCCAGGCACACACACACAAAATGTAAGAAGGGGGTTAGGTTTTAAAAAAGGAAAAAAAAAGACAATTTCCTTGGGGAAACAGAGTTGTCTCATTTTTGCAAAAACAAAAACAAAAACGCAAAACTCAAAGGGCCTGGAAGATACTGCAGAGTTCCCAGGATCCTCAAAAGAATACTGGCCTTGGAGTCCTGGGATTAATCTCCCATGTTGGGTACTTCAGGGTCCACTGTGAACCCCTCGTACTTCCTGGTAATGTGGATAAGGCGTCAGAATCCTGTCACTCCCCACAGCCCATGATCTCTTTGGAAGCAGGCTGTAGAGTTAGGTAGATGGGTCATTTTGGGTGGAAAGCAAGGTTTGATTGCAACCCTGAGTGATTATTTTCCCGTGTGGCAGGGAATTGTGTGAAATTTTTGAGTGTACAGCTAAGTCTCCAGCCTCCTCGACCAAAATGGGCAGCCCCCACCACGGCTTGCACGAGGCTAATGCACAGTCTATTTCATAGTGCCATCTGAGCTGTGAAGTTGGGAAATGCAACCCAGGTGACTCAGCTAAGCGTGCAACTGAAGGTGTTGGTTCCTCGTCCATTCTGCCTTTCATCGCCACTCCCCGCCACCCCAGAGTCTCACTATGAAGCTCTGGCTGTCCTGGAACTCATTATGTAGACCAGGCTGGCCTCAGACTCAGAGATCTGCCTGCCTCTCTGTTCTGAGTGCTGGAATTAAATGCGTGGGCCATCATGCCCAGAACATGTTCTCCAATTCTTAAGCGATTTTCTTATTTACTTTAATATCTCTCTGTATAAATACTATAACAATCCTTAGTTTTTGCTGAGTTGTTCTATAGTTGACTGCAGATGGCATAACACTTTAACCCCCAAGTGCTTCAGTATATATGGACATTTCCTTATGCAACCCTAACCTAAAATTATGTTCAGTAAGTCTCACATTGATCTATTACTCAACTTATCATCCATTCATAAGTGTCTTGATTATACCTATAGTTTCTTTAACAGAGCTGAACTTTTCTCCCTGTTAGGCTTCACCCATCTGATTCCCTCTTGGAATTTAGTTGTCTTCTTCTCAATTTTTTCAATCTACTATTTTTTTAAAATGTTGTCTGACAGTCTTACCCTTGTTACCTAGGCTGCCCTGAGACTTCCTATATATGATTGACCTCACAACTAATGCTGATCCTACTGCCTCAGCCTCTCAGATTCTGGGATTACAGTTGTGAGCTACTGTTGCTTCAATCTAGGTCTCACTATGGAACTCAGGCTGGCCTGGAAAGTCCCTTTATAGTTCAGGTTGGCTTCAAACTCACAATTCTTCTGCTTTTGCCTCCCAAAGTATAAACAACCACATCCAACAACTGTAATTTTTTTCGTTTTAAAAAATTAGTGTGTGGCCGGGTGTTGGTGGCGCACACCTTTAATCCCAGCACTCGGGAGGCAGAGGCAGGCGGATCTCTGTGAGTTCAAGGCCAGCCTGGTCTACAGAGCGAGTTCCAGGACAGCCTCCAAAGCCACAGAGAAACCCTGTCTCGAAAAACCAAAAAAAAAAAAAAAATTAGTGTGTGTGTGTGTGTGTGTGTGTGTGTGTGTGTGTGTGTGTGTGCACCAAGTGTGGAAGTCAGAGGACATGCCTTGAGACAAAGGGATCTTTGGATTGAACTCAGGTTCTCAGGCTTGGCAGTAGGTACTTCTACCTGCTGCCCTCTTGCTGGCACGGGCGCCCGTCTTTTTGAAGGGGATGGAGCCAGTTGTTTTGTAGCCATGTCCCTTGGTTTGGTGTGTCTGATGATGTCCCTCGTGCTCACATCAGGTCATGGATTCGTTTGGGGAGAGGACACTCACAGAAGTAATGTTGGGTGCATTGTAACTCATCCTTCAGAAGGCACGTAAGTGTGTTAGCTCCACTTAAGCAGGAGCTTGCCAGATTTCTTCTTTGTAATCGTGCCATGCTTTCCTCCAGAATTAACAAGTAAACCTAAGTTTTCGAGCCAGAAGTCCAAGTTTGGGCAAGCTGATTTCACAAGTGTGCTATAAAGGCTGGTGGCGTGCTTGCCCTTGGCGTGGTCTCTGGCTGGGGATTTTGAAGACGGGGCTCTGGCCTAGGGCTTTGCAGCACACAGCAGCTTTCTGTCTTTCCTCATGAGGACAAAGAATTCTGTGCGTGAATGCTTGCCACAGAACTGGAATACCATGTGCTGTTTACCAGCCTCTGAGTGGCCCTGTGGCGTCAGACGGCTTCCAGGGCCTCCTAAGGCTGAATGCTCTTTGCAGAGTAGCAGCCTTGTGCCACAGCAAATGTGTGGGGGAATGTTCTGCTGAGGAGGGTGGTTTCATTTCCCCGTAAATGCCTCGGTTTTTTTCCACAACAAGCTTGAGGTCTGGCAGGCACAGAGAGACTTCCCAGTAGGACGGCTGGTTGTTGGAAAGGGTTACTGATGAAGAGCCCTTTCTCTCTCTCTCTCTCTGGACATTCAGGTCCTTCTAGTGCACAACGTGCGTCTCTGGGTGTCTCACTCTGTGTTCTCAGCTCCGCCCAGGAGAGCAGGCACGGCTCACTCCATCTCACAGTCCAGAGAGGTGAGGCTTTCGGATGTAACAGAGCAGAGTGGTCTCAACTCAGGCCTGGAAGGGGTGATCCTGCCTAGGGAAATAAAAGCTTTTAGATTTTAGAAGCAAAATTGTGTTTGTTTCCTGTGATAGTTTCCTAAGGGAAGAGGGAATTTGTTTTGGAGGAGGGGGTCATGAAGAAAGAGGAAATGTCTCTTGAATCTGAAGGATCTTGGACATTTTCTCATCTCTGAAAGTCTTAAGGAGATAATAAAAACTAGAGCCAAGCATGGTGGCCCATGCTCTTAATTCCAGCACCAGGAAGGCAGAAACAGGTTGAGCTCTGTGAGCGCAAGGCCAGCCTGGTCTACATAGTGAGCTCCAGGCAAGCCAACACTACATGGTGAGACCTTGTCTCAAAACATTAAAATAAATACCAGAATAACTAAAACTGATTAACTGTGGCTGGAAAGATGGCTCAGTAGTTAAGATCACTTGCTGCTCTTGCAGAGGTCCTGGATTCAGTTCCAGCATCCACATGGTCAATTATGACCATCTGTAATGCCAGTTCCTGGGGATCGGACACCATCTTCAGATCTCCAGGAACTCATGTATGTACATGATGCCCTTACACTCATGAAGGTTCACACATATACACATAGATCAAAACCCTAAATCCTGGAGCTAGAGAGAGATGACTCAGTGGCTAAGGGCACTTGCTACTCTTTTGGAGGATCTGGGATCAGTCCCCAGCACCCACAAACCGGCTCACAATGATCCAAAACTCTAGTTCCAGAGTAGCTGAAACAG